TTCTTTGTGATGAACAATAAAAAAATACTTTAGATAGCCAAGGCATATTTGATTAAAATATTAATATAACGCAAAACGCATGTGAGAAAACCTCAGAAAACAGTGATCAGAAAGAAGACTCAGGGGAGGTGTTTCCTGTTGGCTTAACTAGAGGTTAGGCTCCCTGGTTCCTTAGTTCTGGATCTGTAGGCTACAGGTATCGGTCTTTGTGGCTGGACATGGAAAAAACCAAAAGCAGTGATCACAAGACACTAAAATAAACAGAACAATGATGCTTAGATAAACAGGGATGCAGGAAGATGACCTAAAAAATGGAGACACCGTGGCAACAGTTATTGGGAGCTCCTAAGAGGAAGTGTGAGGAATTTCAGGTTATGAATAAGCAACTAATACATTTGGTATGATCGGAGGGTTTCCTGCACAGAATTAGCCGTCAACCTTTTCCAGAGAAGCTTTTTCTGACGTTACACCAACTTACCAAATCAACAGGGGAAAAAGCTATGACTGAAACGGAGTGTTATTCAGAAATCACTGATGTCAAACAGAATCTGAAAGTCCAAAGCTGCCAACGCTGATGCATAAAGCCAAAAGTTGCCTCTGACGTGAGAGCTGGACCCGACCTCTGAATCAGCATCGTGGGACTGTGGATGATCAGTGTTACTGTTGTTCCTCAGCATGAAAACACACTGATTCACACAGCCTCACCCTGACCCTGAGCCCACTTACCTGTCAGGACCCACATATGTGTTGCTAAGCAACTAAGAGAACGAGACCATAGATATATATGCTTTTTAACAAGCAGCATCTCTTCTCCCAAAAATACCTGCCCACCTCTTCTTGTTTTGCAAAATGTTCGGGAATCACTGTAGGAACAACTTTTGCTTCTTTATGCTCTGATCTGAAAGATCTGATAGATGAGGAAGCACTTTGCAATAAACAACAGCCAGTTAACAGGATAATCAGTTCAAAGGCTTCATAAGAACCAAACAAAAATCGGTGTCAGAAAACCCAAGAACCAAACTTAAAAGGACACACACAATGATAAGACAAAGAGTCTACAAGCTCTACAAAACAAAGAGCTTGAATGAGAAAGCGGAGGAAAAGTGAGGGCAGTGACTCCATCAAAGCCCAGCAGAGATAACAAAGTGCCAGCTGACACAAAACAGAGTAAATCAAAGATCTGGAAGAAAAGAGTTGAAAGCAGAAGGGAAGGAATGTCAGCCATGACACTGATTTTTTTGTTTTGTTGGGGGTTTTTTTGTGAGAAAGTTGGCTGACTGCTGCCTCCGTTTGATCAGCAGCTCCTGGAGCTCAGAGGCTGTCCATCTTCTGGCTGTATCATGGCTTGACTGGCGTTGATGCTGAGCATCCTGCTGTAAAGAGGCCAGGTCTGTGAGGCCAGGGGATGTGCTCGCATAAATACAGACAGTCAGGCCCAACAAAGCCTCCTCCTGTTTTCTTCTCACTATTATAGAGACGTCAAAATAGTTTAAACAAAGGAAAGCAAATAGGTCCGCAGGTTGGGATGTTTACACTGTACGTGGCTCTGAGCCAGAGGAGGGCAGGGAATTAAAAATATTCGTGTCCACCCTCGCCGGGTAACTTTCAGCCAATATCAAATGAACCAACATTTTCGAGGAATTAATTCTTATGTTCTTTTGTTTTTAGACAAGCCGTGAGGCAGAGGCTGAATGATAGTGAGAAAGTTTATCTTAGATAAAGCCCCGGCTTTCAACAAAGGTGAGCTTCCTCCAGCCTGTGGGCCGGAGGCGGAGAGCGATGGTTTAAGGCGGCCCGCTGATAACGACGCAAACATGTTGACGTGTCCGCCCGGCCCGACGCGGAGTGGAGCGGGCACACCGAGGCACGGCCCTTCTCCCCCTCGCAGCTAAATAAAGATCCATTTGATGGATATACTCAGATAACATAAATCAGGATATCCCATCAGGAGTGACGAAGTGCACCATTGTTTCGGTTCAAGTGGGCAGCCATCCTGACAGACAGCACATTCTGGACATGGGAGAGGACAGAAGGTTCTCTCTGTTGAATCTGGCCCTGATGGGTCATGTCAGAACTGGAAATTCACGCGTTGTTATGCAACGTGTTGCTTAACAGGGCATTGTGATGAATTCCTCTGGAGGATGGTGACAGGTTGTTTTTATTCCCCCTGTGGGGCAAATAGGACTAAATACTTATTTCCTATGAAATGACTGAGGGATGTTTCATTATTCCAAAATAGCTTGAAACATGTACAGTTTAAAAGAGGCTTCCCTTTCCTCAGTGCAGTTTTCAGCTGTTATGTATTTATGTATTTTCAACCTACTCCAATTTATAAGTTATAACTTACTGTTTTTGCATGAATTCATTACATTTCATTGGAATTATACACCTCTTAGTCAATTCAAAGTTCCATTTTCCATCTGTGTTCAGACATTTTCTTAATTGTGGTGTCGGGTTCTGGTTTTCAAACTATTTTGAGAGCAATGAGCTTTTCCTGATGTCACTTTATTTCCTGTACAAACAGGACCTTGAAGAAAAATTAGGATGCATGTGAGTTTATTTATAACTGACGTAGGATTTGTGTTGCATCTATACTTTAAGGGACTAAAGCAAGCATGATTTTTTTAAAACACTCAAAGTGAAGCGAAAGCAGCATATAATAGAGAAAATTAATTTTCTTTCCATAATCAAAGGTTTGATAAACTTTGCCATCAGGTGAGAAAATGATCAGTGAATCCATACAGGATGGTACTCAGATGAGACTCTGTTCGATATTTCACGTCTCTTTTTACTATCATTATTATTTCAATTAAGTGCCGACAGCTACTGCAAATGTAGCACATTTACAAAAGAGACCGAGCTAATTACAGGCTTGAATAGCCAAATGATTTAAGGACAAAAATAATACAAATTGGGTTTGGACTTTATGTAACATAAAACTTTTTGTAAAAGTTATTTATTTTTGTCTTGTGTCCATCAGTTTAAGTTTTAACCAGGAAATATAGATTTCTGCTAGATTCTTTCATTTTCAAAAACCAAATATTTCCTTGAGATAATTTCATCTCCTTGAGAATTTTAAAAATGGTGGAAAAAAGAAACTAGCGTCTGTTTTCACATATTTTGGACAGTTAAGTCCAATTTCACAGAAAGCAGAAACATCATAATATATCATATCATAAGATCATCATTTTATTAACAACAGATCATATCATATTTATCGAGGGCTTCAAATACATCTCAAACAGTTCATGTGCAAAGTGAGGCTGAAAATTTAGTTGCACGGAGGATAAAAGTGGAGAAAAGTGCTGCGGCTAATTAGAATTAACCGTGAAAAAAGAGACTGGACTGAAGTAGGATTGCAGCTTTTACCTGTTTAATGTTAAACATCTAAGTTTTAGCTCCTTGAAATAACTGTTAGTCTCATTGACGTGTGCTCCGTTTTCTCCTTTTTGATTAAAAATGCCTCTCAAAGGTAATTAAGCTCTTGAAAAGCGGCATGCCTTTAAAAACTGTGAAAGTCATCTGGGATTTCTGGAGGCTGTGGTTCTCTGGTTGGTTGGCATCACTCGTCTAGACTAAACAAGCCCTCGTGCTGACCTGAAATAGATGCCCTTCTCAGCCGCCGCACAGCCTCTGCAGCACTTAATGATAAACAGAGTGCTGCACGAAAAACAAACAGAAAAGAGTGGAAGCATGAAAAGTGCATGACAGTGTGAACAAAGAAGGGCACGGCTTGCTTCCGAAAACAAACAGCGAATTCAGCCTGATGGATTTTCCATTGCAGAGCAGTGTTAATGAGAGGAAGCAGGGGAGTGCTTCCCAGGGACTGCATTGTGATACCGAGCACCGTCCCACCTTCATAGCTCGATCCAGGGAAACCTCCAAGAGCTTGCCACTGGTTCCAGCCCGTGCTTCTCAGTCGGGGATGGTAGTTCCTCGCTTTCGATACTTGGAAAACTGCCGTCCAGCAGCATGAGAGGATGTCTGATAATGCTCTCAGATAAACGCATGACTCGGAAGCCACGCTGCCAAACTTAACATTCACCTGATGCCAACTCGACTTAATGTTCATCCTGTTCTGTCCCGCAAATTCTTGGAACATATTAAAATGTTGAAAAGAACAGAGGGCGACCAGAGCAATCCGAGGTCAGGGAGGACCCGAGGACTGTTGTTGTCCAGTGGAGGAAAGCTTAAAAGGAGTATGCACGCTGATTAGGTCAGCATCACGTTCGGATTTACATGATATTATATTTGCATACGCCCCTCATATTAATGATCAAATCAAATGTAACACAACCGGTTTATGTCTGAATGGCAGTTAACCAGAAGAATGTTAATCCAACCACCAGCTGGAAAATCCTACTTTCTTCAGTCCTCAGAGTCTGTTATTCTGATTCAGATTTGGACCCCTGATGTGAGGAGGTCAGTGTGCAGAGGGACCCCCGCTGGGGCAGGTCAGCTTTGTTTGAAAAGACCACGAGCAGCTCGGACTTGAAAAAGCTCAACGGCTGCAGCAGAGGGGAAGTTTCCTCCTAGTCCATAACGTAAACTTGGCTCCAATAAAAGCATCCGTTGTCACCTCGGTGGACAACAGGATATCTTTGTTTATCAAAAACCATCCCGTTGTTGGCCTTGGGGTCTGTGGCCCCTTGTTGTGCATTGGTGGGAGTTTGGTCTTGGCTGAGATTCATATTTCAAGATCTGTTTACTTTACCAAGCTGTCCCGTCCTTTATATAAACAACAAAGGCATGAAGTCTGCATGCACACGTAACGGCTGCATAGAGACTGTGCGTCAGACCCATCAGTCAAAGGGCCTTTTGCTCTGTATTGTTAAAAATAACAGACCAAGACTCCGATTCTCTTCCGTTCAAGGGTCACTGCCCTAATGTTAGGCTCTGATTCAAATTCGAAGTCTTCAAATTTGGCCCATTTCAAACCAGAATGACAGAACATCTGAATCTGTTTCGTCGACCCAGTCAATGGGCGTTTATTGTGATTCCAGCAATGGATCCATTTCACAGTGAGAGTTCAACTCATTTGTAGGCACCGATGCAAAGTGAGGGTGCTCTGAAGAAGAAAGCAAGTAATAAAGCAAGTAATAGTTTTTATTCATCAATTAACTTCAGGCAAGGTGCAGTAAATAATAAAAAAAAAAGTAAATTAAATCAATCCTTCCTTTAAAAGAGCACCAAGTCTCGTCGATACATCGGTTCTTCAAAACCTCCTGTCGGTTTGAGCTTTCCCTTCATCTATGTGAAGTCTCATTTGTATCCACGGTGGCTCTGAGGGGGCCAGCCCATCTCTTGCAGGACTCGTCTTTCTTTTTCACGCTGAACACAGTTCTTCGTGGTTCTCCAGCTGAGTGTCGTGCTGTGGACTGAGCTCAGGGAAGATTGTGTGTAAGCTGGCATTGTGTCGCGGACTGGAATCTAAACACGCCTGTAACCTTTGAACAGAGCCATACATGTGCACTACATACCAAAGATTGCGGATATACAGTGTGATTGGGTAGATAAGCTGTGTATCTTCTTCTGTTGCATCTTCTATCAGTTATTTTTCGGCAGTATTGTGCACAAAAAAGAACATTAAAAAGAGATATATTGTGACATTATTTTACACCACTTGAACACTTCTCTGTACGCATTGGGACAAATCGTGCATTTCATGGTCTGTTTCACATTTCCGAAATGCATCTGCGTGGATGGGAAAAACCGTCAGTGAGCATGTGCAGTACAAGCAGTACCTGAGGTCAAGTTTCTCTAAGCGGCTGGTAACAATATTTGGTATCAGTTGTATCACTTTTGGGTCAAGGTGCGTGTACATCAGCATGTTCACAGTGTGTCTGCGACCGCTCCGTTCAGGCACCTAGTCTTCTTTGTGAAGCTTACTGGAGTCTTCGGAGGTCTCGGCGGGCTGAGGCGCCGCGTCTCTGGCGCTTTTGCTGTGGTTCCGCCTGGGCCGGTGCTCCGAGAACCAGTTAGAGATGGTCATGGCCAGCCGCAGGAAGCCCAGGTTGATGCAGTGCACCTCGGACGTGATGGGGATGTCGGAAAAGACGGCGTGGTCCCGGCACATCAGGACGCTGCTGCATTCAAAGTCTTTGACGATGTTGAGGATCTCCTGTCGCTCCGCCTGCCGCATCATCCCGCGCACATTCAGCAGGGTGGAGACGTGCTTCTTCCTGTGGAGCGGAAGAACACAAAGGAGGAAAGGGGGGGAGTTGGATGATGTTAATGGAATTTGGGTCTGTTTGATGTCGCCAGTGCCCGTCATGGCTCTGAGTAAGAGTCAGATTTCCCTGTCATTCCCTCTGTGGGTGACTGAGAGGGCACGTTTGATGATGACGACTTTTACAGAAACTTGGAGGAACTTCGATAGGTTAGATTCTCCACAGTGTCATTCAGCCCCCGTTCCAGAGAAAATGATGCTGTTTGAGAACAATATTCCATTCACCAGAGAACTTCATACGTCAATTGGGGGGAATAAGATATCGAATTGATTACATTCATAAGAAAACTTTGGCTCATGTTGAATTTGATGGCAGCTACATTTCTTAGAACAGTTTGAATGAAAGCTGCCAAAATAACTGAGAGCAAAAACGACTGGAGGAACATGACCATGGACGATCAGGTTTAAAAACAGTACCTGAAGGAGCATTCTGCAAAGTCAAAGAAAATGTTGGATATTTTCCGTAACAAATACCTTTGAGAGATGTTTCACCAGTTTGATCTCTCTTTAGAGTGGTGGTCATTTAAGAAAAAGTCACTCTTTACATGATACCTATATGACTATATAATACCTGACTTTTTTCGTTGTCACTAGCAATGCACATATCTCTTTAAACTGCTTTAGTCTGTTTGGACACATGACTGAATGGGCAGGAAATTCACAGGCTGGAAGGGACATATGTTCACACTGTCACGTGTGCAGGTATGGATGCTGCTGCAGTAAAATGAGGCATCCATAAAACTCAAGGAAGGCCGGCAGGCTTTGATCCTCTGAAGTACTGCCCTGGGATAGCATACAGTAAACAAAAGGGGGAGCCCAGCAGTGAGTTAGCATATGTTCAACTCTGAAGTGCTGTGTGTGCTCTCCTCTTCCACACCTCCCCATTTTTAATTCCAAGTGTGGCACCAGGCTGTCTCCTGCAGGGTGGCAGGAACAGGAAGTATTCGGCAGCAGCTTCCTGTCTACTCCTCGGAGGGTAATGCGTCATAAACGGTTATAGGCTGCCAACCGACACCTGATTCTTAATCTGTGCACAAACAAGTTGGGCCTCCCTGCCTCATCCATTCTCAAAACAGAGTCTCACTGCCCTCCAAAAATAGCAAAGTTAATGCAGATATGTTTCCGCGCTCCTTTTCCTTGTTTTGATCCATTGTGACACAAAGAAAAAGAAAAAAAACTGAGAAAACAGACATATGGTCTTTGGTTGTCTTTGCCTGGCTCAGTACCAACAGCAACACAGTGAATGTGTGGAGGTAAGCATAAAAGAATATATGACCTTTGGGAGAACATCGTGGAGAAAATCTGTTTTTATAGTTGCTTCCTCGTGTAAAATGAACAGTTTACCAGTGTTAGTTTATGACAAAGCCTCACCTTATATCTGGGAACTCTTTCACTAAGACAGCCACCTCCATCTGGATAGATGGAGTGTCTTCCAGCAGAATGATGTCAGCCAGGTGGCAGATGATGCTGTCCAACCAGGAGGAGTTTGATTCCTAATGCAGACAGGGGCAAAGATTTGTTAACACCAGACCGGTTATTGTGTGCATTTGTGACCTTTGTCTAATTACTTATCACTCAAACATCCTCTTCTTCAGTTTTGATGGATGTTTTCCAGATAAAACAAGCAAGGCAAAACACATTCAGAGGAAACGCAGATGAATGCCTCTTAGGACCAGAGGCCAAACTCTTAATTCACTCCACAGGACCCCTCCTCTGTTTTTCCCACTTTTCTGTTTTTCTCTCATATTCTCAGGAAATAGAAAGCACAGTTCTCTGTGCTGGCATTCACTAAAAATAACAGCTTCGTTTTTAGACAACCATTAAAAACCCATCCTCCCCCCGCAGTTTGCAAAGACTCTCCATCCCGCTCCTGGGTAAGAAAGGCCATCAAGGCCATCTCGGAGACACATCAAAGTCGGCCAGCTGACAGGAACAGGAAGTTCCTTCCAAACACAGCAGCTTCCTGTTGTCAGCCGAGGTGACAGACACTTGTTTGAACTCGCACACAGAAAGGGGGCAAATGCCACGCCGTCAGGCCCGGCTGTTATACACTCTCTTCCCCTTTTCGGCCGTTGCTAACGTAAGCCCGGTTCATCCATCTCCATCTCACTGACGGCGGCCATTTTTCATTGCTCAGTCCTGTATCAACACTGTCTGAGTTATTCCTGACCTAGGAAGTTCAAGGGTCGGGTTCCATTCACAGCCCCCAGACTCTGCATTTCCCCCATCAACCGTGCTTTGTGTTTTTAAGAATCAGCAGCTCGAGTGTCTTTGGATCTTATTTTTTGCAGACCTTTTGTTGCACTGAAGAATGTGGGTCTGAATCAAAGATGTGATGGCCAGACTCACCAGATCCCTAAAAAGTCCTTTCAGCTGTTTGGCCTCGTCTTGCAGGCGGAAGGCCATCCTCTTCCTCATCTTGGAGGATGTGCAAATAAGCCTTCCTCGCATGATGGCTCGGACATACTCCACTAGGACCCGCCTGTGCACCTCACCAACCAGCGTCTGCCAGACAGGACAAATGAGAATTAAGTTCCACGCAGTTCATCCAATGCTTGCAGAGTAACTGTACCAAACAGCTTTTTACCTGATACGGTGGAGGATCCATCCTTTTAAACTTCTTAAAATGTTGTTTAATGCCGGCTTCGATGGAGTCAAAGGCCTCCGTGTTGTTCAGCCATTTCCTCTTAATGAGTTTGTCAAAGAAAGGCTGAAACAACAACAGACTGTGCTCAGGTAGGAAGCGCAATGTCTTTCGGTTAATGTAATATATAACTATTGTACAGTAGACAATGTATTCAGTTACCAGTTCCGATTATTATTATGTTTGCATTGTAAAAATTTGATTCTCTTTTTGCAGTATTTAAAGTGAAGAACAGATTTTTCATTACTTTGAAAGAGAGAGAGCATAATCCTGTATTTCTGCTCTGATGTGAGTATTGTCTAAGAAGCTTTAACTTTTTAATGCCATATTTCAAAGACCTGTTGCATCTTCATAACTAAGAATTTATACTTTGGGTTTTTGAAAAAGTTTGGGTTTTTAGACATTTTTTCTTTGGACAGGCTTCATGGGGTTAAGGATAGCTTTACTAACCCTGATGTGCTCAAAGAGTCGGTCGGTCAGCACCCTCACTGACTGGTTTATGATCCTGTCCAGCGAGGCGTTGGCTCTCTGCGCCGACTCCTCGCTGCCCTGTGGATCACACAGTCTGCATCGCTCCACAAAGGACCTGCAGGTCGCAAAACAACCTTTAGTTTCTTATTTCTAACAACATTCAGACAGACGATGTTGCTGCTGTCAAGACCGGACCTGAGAGGGGGGCAGCAGTTGACCAGAGCTATGGTCCTGGAAACGTATCCATCACCTCTGTCTCCAAATTCTGCCTGAGTCTCATGAAACATCTCGGCCTTCCTCTGGAAACTAAAATCATGCAGAATTAGTACAAAAGAACGCCAGGCACAATTCATCAAACTTTGAGCTTTCTTATGTTATATCATATTATATAGTTTTCAGACATGCACTCACTTGTAAAGGAAGTTCGCCAACCCAATGAGACTACAGCGAGCCACTCTTGCACCCAGAAACTGGCTCACAGATGTGGATCTGTCCAAATCCACCTTCAGCCTCTGAAAGTGTTAAACATGTGGGTTATGATGGAGTTTTGAAAGAGATTCAGTGAAGTCTGGGGCAGCTGGGAGTCTACCTGAATCACGGAGCGCGCTAGCTGCGACTGATACTCTTCTATGTGCAGAGTCTGAGCCCATCGTCTCTCCTCTTCATCCAGAATCTGGATCAGCTCCGTTGTTACTTTATCCTGAAAAGTAGAATTTGCATTAGAAAGGCTTTTATTATCCAGGTTTTCCGCGGGTGGAAAAAAAAACTAATTTTCTTACCCTGACTATGCTGATGCAGTCCTCCTCCAGCCTGTCCACGGTCTCTTGGGACAGTATAGGGTCCAGAGTGGAGTAGTTAATGGGAGAGGTAGTGCCAATTATTCCCAGGACGTCCCTTCAGGAGAATACAAAATGAATATGAAATAGAAATAGGTTTCATGTGTCATGGCAGCTTTTGAGAGTCTGATCTACCACGCCATCACCAACCTGCTGTAGATGTTGTAGAACCAGTCCAGCAGCGAGTAGACGTCTGTGATCTGCAGGGGCCCGCCGGTGATGGTCCGAAGGCGCTTGCCCACGGCTCGATGGTAACTTTCCACGTACACCTGGAAGGCGGCGAACTCCTCTGGGTAAATGGAGACAGCGTTCCTCCTGGCTGCGTCCAGGTCGTCCACCATCCGACACCTGAGCCGCTCCAGGTACGAGGCCAGCTGGCCCGCCTGGGTGTCCACCTGGTGAGGCAGGCTCCAGTCCGCAGCCTCCGCCACCGCCTGCCTCCACTTGGCCTTCAGCCGCCGCGGACGCTGGCTGGGCTGCACGTGTGGAATCTCTCGCTCTGGCTTCGTGTCCTCCCGCAAAGCCCAGGCCGCATCGGCATGCTCCTCCTGCTGGATCACCAGCACCACCAGGCCGAGGTTGGGGCCAGCGCTGGGCTGGCGGAGGGACTCTCGCACCACGTCCCACATCTCCTTCTGCAGGGCTTCATACAGGAGCTCCACGTCCTTGGCCTTCCTCCTGCCGGAGTCCAGCGTGGCGTTGGAGCTGAGGGCCTCGTCCAGAGAGCAGGAGGAGAACGGGCTCAGACCAGGCGGCGTGCTGGGACTCATGGCGGGCGTGAGGGAGGGAGGAGTGGCCGTCGGCATCAGAGACAGCAGCTCGCACTCCCGCTCCAGCTCCTGCATGTGCGTGTCCGCCAGGAGGAGGTCTCTGTGGTTGACCAGCTGCAGGATCTCCAGAACTGTTGGGAGCAAGAAAATGGAGAGCTCTGCTTTTAAGGGCAATGAGACGGACAGCGTTGTGAGAAATGGGACAAAGGGCATTTTATATTCCTATGGCTATTCCTGCCTCTGACAAACAAACTGGAGCTATTTCTTGCACATTCTGTACATTCTTGTGTTCTTAGCAAGGCTCCCTGTGGAGAAAGCGAAGGGTAACCTGGTTGAACTTTAAGAGAAACGTGGGGCATGAGGAAGTGCGGTCATTTCCGGTTGGCTGCTGAGCGACCACGGTAACTGAGGCATCTGGGGACTTCTAAGCTTAATGAAAAAATTGTCTTGAACTGAGAGGAAGTACAGTTGAAGCTTGAGTACAATTTTCCAAAGCAATGGAAACTTTTCACAAAAGTCTTCTGAGTCAGTTGATAAGTGGACATGAGTGTTTTTTTTTTGTTGTTCTTGACGGTTACCTGAGAGCGGCTCTCTGGTTTTGACCACTGGTTCCTCTTCCTCTGTTTCCTCCTCTGCCTCTTGGGATGCCTTATCCGACATGGATTCTCTTTTGAGCTTGCCCAGGCTGACTATCCTGAGGAAGGAGGGTCGCCTGGATCCCTCCACCTCGCTGACTGCGCTCAGATCCCCGCAAGGAAGACTTTCTCTGCGGTCCTCCTTACGCCGACCTGTGAAGCTGCACAAACGCAGAGTAACACGGTTATGGACGGTCTGGTCATGGGCTGTGAATGACAATAGGGACTGCACTGGGCTTGCATTGTGCTGTGCAGAAAGCAGACTGCAGTTATGGCTGGAATGCCACTCACATCTGCAAAACCGCTGCACAGAATGGTCACCAGGGTTAAAAATAGTCCCATTCACTGAGCACAGCAAGTACACAACACGTCGACGACAAACAAAAGAGGTTCCGTTGATCAACGAATTGCCCCAGCTTATTACATAAGCCACGAGGAGCTAAGCATAGAAAATGCAGATCTATTAGTGACCACAGAGGGAGGAAAGGGATTTTCCATTTTTCCCGCCTCCCGTGGGACTCTTGGGACTCAGCCATAGTTAGCCGCCATGTCCTTATCTTCATAATGATCTTTTCCCACTGTTTTGCTTTGTTTCATTAACTGTGGATAGTCTACATTTCTGATATTATCATCATATCAAGGTCACATTTTTTAAATGTTTTTTACAGAACAAAATCTTCGTCTTTTAATCAAAGTATTCCTGAATCTTACCACCTCGAATCAAGTTATCAAATTAACCTAATCAATACGATGTAAATATTTAACTTTTTTATGGTGTAAATTAAAAAATGATCAGTTTTAGAAAATCATGACACATTCAAATGTGTTAGATTTGTTGTGAGTCCTCTCCACTGGACTGTCAGGCCTCTACATTCCTCACATTTCCGACACACAGCAGCTAAACTCATGCATGACAAAGGCCTCCTTCACCCCATCCCTCCTCACCGGAGCAGGGTCATTATCCCCTCGGAGCTTCTGCGAAGTCCTTTCCTTTTTTCCTTTTCTGCCGGGAGAGTATTTGAGTCTCCGGAGTTGTAGTGGGGGGAGTTGTTGCCCCACACATTTCGTCCTGATATGCGAAGCCCCTTGCCAAGTTTTCCGAGGGTTTTCAGCGGTGACACTCCACAGATCCGCTCCAACGTCCCCCTGAGCGGCTTCCCTTTAGGATTCCCTGCTCCGTGCCTCTCCGCATTCACCTCGTTCTCCTCCTCCTCTCCGTCGCGGGGCGACCTGAGCTGGAGGTTACCTCTGACCTCCCCCATGATGAGTCCCACATCACCTTCATTCCTCCCGTCTTCGTCCAGGTCCACATCCTCAAAGGGGTTCAGACTCTTGTTCAGATCCTTCAGGTCGTTCAGCTCATTCAGGTCGTTCAGATCATTCAAGTCTCTCAGGTCCAGGTCCAGCCGGGGCAGGATCAGTTCTCCGTTCACCCGGGGGAACTCTTGGCAGCTCTTGGATCTTCCAGGGAGCTTTTTCAAAATGGGCATGATTGAAGTTGATTTTTTACCAAACTGCAAAACAAAAGAATAAGTGTGAGATGTTTCCAAACTGTTCAGATCATTCACATTTATATAAGTGTGGAGATTTCAAACATTTTGATCAGACTCTAGATTAAATCATAATGATATTTACAATATGAATCTGTAATATTGACCCCTGGTAGCAGAAATAGCCACATATCCCTGATAAATACACCTGAAAATAGAAAAAAAGCACCCAATGTCAATTAAGTTAAGACAAACTATGAATTTACTGTGGAGAAAAGGTCACAGCTTGGGTTAAAACAGGCCAAATCTCCATTTCCTGGATAACTGGCTATACAGTTCTTCCTTTGATTTGACACAATAACTGTCCTTCATACACGCATGCAAAGTTTTTTTGCATCTGCTGTGCAGGCTGAACACAGAGGCGGACAATGGAGCGCACACTCTCAGTAATACAGCCATTTTAGAGTCTCCAATTAATTTAGCATGCATGTATTTGGACTGTGGGAGGAAACAGGAGCCTCACAGGAAATTCACACGGGCATGCAAACATGCAAACTCCACAAAGCAGCTTCAACTACTGCAGCAATGGTTCTGCTTTAAAAACCTAAATGACTTTGTTACAACCTAATGGTTTCCTGGCTTCTTTCCAGCCCGTTGTTTTCAATTTGATTTGATCAAACGATTTAAGCCTGTTGTCTAATTGCACAAACAATGCGTGTCCTCCAACGGTGTAACAACCTCACACACTGCCGTTCACACGCTTCAAAGGCTCAGCATGAATTTTTTTTAAGGATCTGTCCAAAAGTTAAAA